GCATTTTCTCTTGCCAGCCCGTAGGGACCAGGGGCCCGGCCCTCCTAAGGAAGGAATTAACCCAGCAGCATCAGATATCAGAGGTATCTTTATTGACTGTTTACAGAAATACAGTAGCACTTGGTTTAGGGGGCTTAGGTGAGTTCTCCAGAAGGTGCCTTCCTTCTTAGCGTTGCCGGGAGATCCTGAGGAGAAACCTGCCCTTTAACGCTTTGGGTTTTCTCTGGAGGATTTGGGGGTCCCTAGCACAAACTTCCTAACACCCTCAGCTCTCCAGGGTTTGGGAGTTGTTTGAACCAGTGGATGAAACTCCACTGGTAAGAGGAAAAGAAACCCCATTATGTTGGGGGGTGGTGGGGCAGTCTGATATGTTGTGAGCCAGCCCTGCCATGGTCACCATCCATCACTGCACACACCTCCTGCTCGGCAGGACCCCGCTGCTCCCCAGAGCTCAGCTTTCTGCTGCCAGGTGTGCATCACTCTCAGCTTTGTACCTTCTTGTCACACAGTTTGCTGGCCATAAAATAAATATTTATTGGTCTATTTTTATCTCTGTACATGTGTAAGAATAAGACCCTTTCCTACAGCAGTTCACAAACTGTTTGGGGGCAGGAAGGATATGTTCAGCTGGGCTGATCAACTCATATAATTTTTATTTAGGTATTTAATTGGCTTTTTTTTTTTTTTGCAATCAAGGTGGAGCGGTGTGGGGTTTTTTTGCGTCCTTGCTACAAGAAATAACTGCAGACACTTCTGGCATAGAGGCATTTTGGCGGCAGCCACTGCTGTTGGCCTCACTCTAGTAGTCAGTGAGGGGGTATCGCAGGAAGATGAAGATGAGGATGATACAGAAGGTTGCAAGGGCTGAGCTGGTGATGTTAAAAAGCCGGGCTGTCTTGGCATCTTCGACTGCTCCATTTAAGTCATTGAGGAGTTTCTTATCCCGGACCTAAGACCAAAAGAAAAAAATTTAAAAAAATTTGGGAGATGTAGAAAAAGACATAACTTGTTTCAAGCAACACCCACACGGTAGGGTACCTGTGCAGTGGACAAGGACTGGGCTGTGCCTCTTGCATTTGAACACTTGGGGTGCTGTAAAACACTCCGAGGTGAGGTTTGCACCCTAGCTCTGTAATGGGTTGAGCTTGCAAAGGCAAGCACTGTAATGACTGTGGGCTGGAAACCCCTGGGAGTGGAGAAGACCCGGAAGAGTGACCCGTTGCTGTTACCAACCAGGCAAACCAGGTCCCTGTGCCCCCTAGAGTGGGGCAGTGCTATTTTGAGCCTGAGGGTGCACAGGGGAACATCGTTCACCCCATGCACATGGGCACTAAAGCATTCTTCCTACTGTGTTGCAGCCCCCTGGCCCTCACTGGACTTTGGCTCACCCGGCCCACGAACAAGAAGGTTGGTTGTGGTTTTGGTGTGCATCCCCATGCCTCCATCTGCACTGAGGGGCTGAGCGGGTGAAACCTGGCACGGCATCCTACTGCAGCTCCAGGGCTGCGCACGAGCCTCCAGCATATTAAGCAGTCCTGGGTTAATGAGTTCCTTTTGCAGGTCTTATGCAGCTCATGTAGCGTCTCTGCCACTGGCAGTTTTCAATCCTGACAGCACGGTCTGCTCTCTTCATTATCCTGCGGGCTGGGACTTTCATGGGCTTGCCTTGGGACAGCTCTGCCGTGAGTAAGGATTGTACATGTCCATGTCACTGGCTTGTTCCCACCTCCTCCAGGCTGCCAGGCAGTGATGGCACAGCTAGGCAGCGATGGCACTAGCAGGCAGCGACGGCACTAGCAGGCAGCAGATGGCACTGCAAGGCAGCAACGCCACTAGCAGGCAGCGATGGCATTACCAGGCAGCGCATGGCAGTGCAAGGCAGTGATGGCACTACAGGGCAGTGAATGGCACAGCCAGGCAGTGCATGGCACTACCAGGCAGCAGATGGCATTGCCAGGCAACGAATACCACTGGCAGGCAGCGATGGCACCGCCAGGCAGCAACGGCTTTGTCAGGCAGCAGATGGCACAGCCAGGCAGCCGATGGCACGACCTGCCAGCAGCAGCTCTGCAGTTTAAGCCCAGTAGACGAGCGGTCAGGCTTCATCCCTTCCTATCAGGGATGTGTCCTGGTCCCCAAACCACACTGTCAGCCAGCACTCAGCAGACCCTGGCATCTGGAGCCATGAGAATGTGGGACGAAAATACCAGGAGACTTTACCCCTCTTCCCTTTCCCATATTCAAGCAGGGTATGCAAGGGCTGGCACGCCATAGCAGTGCTTGCTTCACTGCCTACTTTATGACCGGAAGGTTGCAGGCTGTGGGGCTGTGTTTCCTTTGCAGCCTGCCTTTGCTGCAGGCAGCATGAGCACCATGAAGGCACTGCTGGCTGAACGCTAGATGTCCGTGGCAGGCTGCGAAAACCAGCTCCTGAGTCCTACCTAGAAATATTAAAAGGTTTTTATCGACCAGAAGCTTTCAAAAAAGACTCTGTGATGGATTCAGACCACGTCTTAGTGACTTTTTTTCTCTCCCACCTGCAGTGCTTACCCACAGAGCTGTCCTGAAAGCCTGCAACTTGCTGGATATGGGGAAGGGTTGCTGAACCCCTCATTTCCACTGAACCACGGTGGTTCACAGGGCCTCCAAAACCACGTCCTAGACCCTCAAGCAATATGTCCCCTCCTCTGTCACACCAGTGAGGACTTCTCTGCACAAGCACCCCCTGCTCTTCATTAATCCTGAACTACAGGGAAGGAGGCTGCTGCTGGCATGAGGCCTGCCGGAGCCCGCGCTGGTAGGCACAGAGGCAAGAATGAGAGATCCGTTTTCCTCCTCATATTAAATCCTGTGGTGCCATGTCCTCGGCCTCTGTTGTGCCCCGCTCCCGGAAGCCTGCAGCTGGAGCTGGGGCCATCCACCCATCACCACGCTGCTGAGTGCTCAACAGCTTCAGGGCACCCTTCTGAGAGCGCGGACAGGGGAGAGTCACAAACTGCATGTGGCTCTGTGGCACGCTTGGCTGGTGCTCCCAGCAGTGGACGTGACTTCTAGGAAGGCAGAAATCTGGCAGCCTGGGAACCTGCACCCCTTTTTGTGTCAGCTGCGTGTCTGGGATGACTCACCTTTGAAATTATTTGGTAGGTTTAGCATCCTCCCAAAAAACCCCGGCTGCAGCAGCACCAGGCAGCCAGCATTTCCTCACCCATTGGTAAAAAGCACGGAGGTCCCTGCAGCCAGAGCCCCAGGGGCACGGAATTCAGGCCAGAAATCCTGCCCGCTGCTTCTGGCAGGCTCTTTGAAGCTTTCACACTGGATGACTCACCTTTGAAATTATTTGGTAGGTTTAGCATCCTCCCAAAAAACCCCGGCTGCAGCAGCACCAGGCAGCCAGCATTTCCTCACCCATTGGTAAAAAGCACGGAGGTCCCTGCAGCCAGAGCCCCAGGGGCACGGAATTCAGGCCAGAAATCCTGCCCGCTGCTTCTGGCAGGCTCTTTGAAGCTTTCACACTCTTTAGGCAAACCCTGCGCAGAGCAAATGCCTTTTGCCCCTTCCTCCGCTGTAACCCAGCTGTGTCTTGGAGAGGTCACTTGTCACCACAGGCAAGCTGGTGTCTGCTGTCGGTGTTTGCCAGGCAGAGGTTTCTCCAGCAGACCGGCAAGCTCTGCAACCCTACTGCCGCTGAGCCACTTGCTTTGCCTTTGTGGGGCCAGTGCCTTTTGGCCCCAGGAGGTCTCCCCCACTCCTTGCCTCCTGCTTCTCCTTTCCCTGGGGTGCCCTGCTGCCCCAATTTCCATGCCCAGCCCTCTCCCAGTGCTCCCAGCAGCCTCTCCCACCTGACACCAGCTCGCCCTCTTGACCGACACTTTAGCTCTTTACCACGCCTGCTTCAGCCATGCCTGCCCTTGACTTGCCTGTGGTTCTCCCTCTGTCCCTGCTCCAGTCCTGCTGCTCCTCAACATCTCTAGCAAGGGGCGCCTGGGGCTGCCCGCTCCCCAGCGCCACCATTTCCTCCCAGTTCCTTTCTTTTGTCCTTCCCATCTCTTCTCTTTCCTGCTGTTTGGGCCCAAACGATGATAGGGACAGCCACCTTCGACTCCTGCCAAAGGGCACCCAGCTGCCTCTTCTCCCTGCCCCTCTGGCCAGTCCCGCCCACCCACTCCTGCCAACCCCTGCAGCACACAGGGCTCTGCCTGCATTCCCCATCTCCGGCAGCCCCCTGCCCTTTCCCTGCCCTTTCCCTTCCCTAGCTCTCCTATGGCTGCTCTGGCCTTGGTTGCCTAGATCCCTCATCCTCACTGAGTCCTTGGTCCCCTTCCTCGCTTCCCTCATTATTTCCCCATACGCCTATGGCTTCAGTGGTCACCCTAACACAAATCATCCTTTATTATCCATTATCATTTATATTGCAACGGAACCTCCAAGCGCCAGATAAGTTCCAGGGCCCCTGTGGCACACAAGCACAATGAAAATGTGTTTCTCCTTCCAAACCACTTGCAGCCCTGGCCTCCTGCATCTCTCCAGGGTGGCCTCACCTCCTCCTGTCCGGCCTTGCGTCCCCAGGCGCTCACAGACATCTCCCTTCAACATCCTGCTGCAGCATCCTAGCCAGGCTCTGGAGGAGGGGCTCTCCTGGAGCACACATACATGTTTTGGCTCCTTCCCTGTTCTGTCCTTAAGGAGATGGCAGTGTCTTTCTCACAGCGCAGCCTCAGCTGTTCCTGTTTTCCCGCTCCTGCAGCCACCATTGCCATAACGTGCTGGCAGCCGGTGCACAAGCTTCTGGGAGGCCTGGAAGCTGCTTCCTTCTACAGCCAAGGAGGTAAGGCATGGGGGGTACAGGTCTCCAAGGTCACAAGGCTGAACCTTCCCAAACCCAAGTGTGTTTCCTTAGTCACAGACTCTTTTCTCATTGTCACTTTGACCCTTCCCACCTTGCCTAAAATTATTTGGGGATTTTTGGCCCTGCTTTGCACTGAGATGACAGGTGTGTAAGGATAATTATCCTGCATCTACTGACAGCAGGGTTTCCCCAGGCACCCCAAAGCACTGCATGGTGACCCTTTTGGAGATCCCACGCTGGACAAGGCAAAGCATATTTCTGATGTGGCTTGACAACTTATAAATTTCCTTTCCTCTTTCATGCCCAGCGTTCAACAAAACACAGCCCACTTTTGTGGTTTAACATGCAAACGTTCCTCCTCCCCTCTCCCACCAGCAAAAGCCAGTGGTGGCCTTTCCCTCCATTCTGCTTGTCTGTTGCCTCCCTGCTGCTCACCTTGTCCTCCAACACCTCCAGTGTGCCAGTGGCTAAGGGCTCTTTCTTTCGTCCCTCTGACCACCAGCTCCTGCCCTTCCTCCCTTTGGGGCTTTGCCTTCAGCTTCCTCTCCAAGCACTCCCCTTGACCCCTGCCATCCCACTCCTTCCCAGTCCCTTCCCCAGCAGCCACCTGCCCTCTTGTCTGCTCTGGGGCTCGAGTCCTCTTGTTTTTGGGACCAGGGAACTTGCTGTGTGGGTATAAAGCGCTGCCTCAGCTTGCAGGAGGAGACGAATGGTTTGTTGATAATGAGCCTAATGAGGCTGCATTTAAGGCAGCCCAGCTTTTAGCGTGCAGCTTACAGCTGGTTGTGTATAAACCCATTTCTGTGCAGAGTTCTGCATCCCTACACATAAGGAGCTCTGGAGGGGATCCTTGGATTTATTTGCTCTGTGAATTGGTCAAGAGCTCTCCAGCTGGTGTACTTCTACCACGCTGGCACCAGTGTCACGGGGCTATCGCCTCTGCATTTCACCCACCTCTGTAAACCATTGCTCCTCCTGAGAAGCAGGATGAGAGCCTGCCTGAGAGGTCAGGTGCTGCAGCCTCTCTGCTTCTTGGGGTTAATAAATAGTTACGGATTTGTGCTGGTCCGCTTCCACTCAAAATGGGGAAGGTCAGCACACAGCAAGAAAGGAAGGTAAAGAGCTCTCTATACAGACAGGACGTGGCATCCGTACCGCAACTCGTCTTAGATCCCAGCTCCTCTGATATACCTCCTCATGGCGTAATGGGTACTGAGAAGGACTTGGCTCACCCTCACGGTCTCCGGAGATGGACCTCCTAACAACTGAAGTGAGATCTCCTGCCACCAGGCACAGATGCATCGTTAATTACCACTTGGAGCTGGGACAGAGGAGGGGAGGGGGCTGCCGAATATTGGGCCATGGCATTTGCTCTTGATGAAAACCAATTGAATCCAAAGCATTGCCATTAGAGCGATCCTCGCATCTGTGCTGGGATGGGGTTAAGGTTACTTCAGGGTTTCTAACTTCCCTGGTCTTGCTGCTTATCTCTTCTTCCCCAGCACCAGTGCATGCTTACATGCGACCGCGTTGCTTGTACTCCGAGAGGCTGACCTTGAGAAGCCTGAGATGCTAGAAATAACCCCCAGAGGGATACATGAGTTGGTGCAACTTCGTTGCAGCCCAGCTAGTGGTATCTGCTGAGGATCCGGCCTGCTATGGGTGTAAGTAAAGACGAGGCATGCTGTCACACTGTTACTCAGAGCGCTTGGCTGGGGTGTCTGTCACAGAGTACTTGGCTTGGATGTCACAGTCTTTGCCCTCACCTGAATTCATGTGTTTCTTTGAGTAAGAGCATAAATTCTTTGGTGCCGGGTGGGTTTTTGGCATTTTTTAGTGATCACCAGGAACTAGCATTTCCCTTCACAAAGCAGTCTAGAAGGCTGCAGCTCGTGTACAAAAGGCCAGGCCGACATGGAGGTACTGTTTCCGCAGCTGTGACTGAAACCAATAAAAGTGGGCATGGGGAAGGAGACAGCTTTACGGTAATATTCAAGTGTAGCTAAGCATACATCTGGCTTCCAGTGTGGCCATTGTGCTGCTGAAACTGGTGGAAATGCTAAGGATGTGCTAAGGTCCGTAATGAAACAGCTCATGGACTTGGGGCACGAAGGAGCTACTGCTTTATTAATGGTATGAATCTGGCAAAAGCAGATGATATTTATGGCAGGGTACTGAAAATGCTATTTCTGATAATGAAAATGATGATTCCTAAGGTTGCTAGATGCTTCAATTATTTAAAGAAAATGGAAAAACCATAACCTGGGAACTGTTTAATGCCATCAGTACCCTGATGGCCCTTCAGCCAGGAAACCTGTGCTCCACTGGCCGAGGGCTCTGCTGTCAGAGCTCCCAGAGTGGGGTCAGGGAGAGGAAGGTGCTGTTCCTCTCCTCTCCCTCCCACAGCACCTTACTCAGTCTCTGCAGAGCACAGACATCCTAGAAAGGCTGGGATTTAAGTTATCTATCTGCTGCTAAATTGTCCTTACATTAACCTGCAGAGGAACAAGAGAAGTCTATTTAAGGGACATCTGTCCCCAGGGCATTCCTTTCTTCCTGCTCCCTCTGAACTTCTGGAAAAAACCTTATTGACTGTAAAAGAGATGAAAACAAGAGGTTTCTGGAGAAATGACATCCAGCCTGGCCAGGATGTTGTGAAGGTCTCTGCAGTAGCTGTGAGTAAAGAAGGATCCCGTCTTTCTTAACATCCCAGTGGTCTTCTCCAGGACAGACCTTCTGCTACTGCCCCAGCATCCGCATTGCCTCCCACCACCCATCCCAACAGCAGCCTGTGAGGGCATTCGCCATCCCTTCAGCCACTTGCTAGCCCTGTCCTGTGTCTCTGAGGGACCTTTTGTTTCTGTTTTCCCCCTGCCACACAGTTACAGCCACTGGGGAGCCCCAAGACCAGAGCAGTTATGTCTACCTGCTCAGCTCTGCATCTGTTTGGGTACCACCACTACATCTGATCGGCTACTGCCTTGCAGTCTAAAAGTCAAGGCTGGTTTTTGACAGCCATCTTCTATTTTTCTTCCCCTGATTTGGAGCATATTAGTCCATTTGCCTTCCCTCGCCACCGCTTCTTTTTTTCGGACTGGAGTTTATGTCCTCTAGACCTTTGCAGCTGGATGCTGAGCCCACACCTTTGCCCCAGCACGAGGCACTGGCCCCGAGTTACTTCTGGGCTTTGCCCTTCCTTCCAGCTCAGTGCAAGAATAGTGAAGGGTCCAGCCTTTAAAAACGCTGTCGGTGGCAGACCCTACTCCATCCTGTCCCCTCAGGATAGGTCAGCCTGGTCCTCAGGCTGTCCTGCCCCCACTACTGGCTGCAGCTGAGGGACTGCATCTACCCAGATACCGGCTGTAGCTACTGCTGTGTCCCCATGATGTGAAATCCTTTCTTAGCCCACTGTGACTGTGCCTCTTGCATGGGAAAGGCGCTGATCATTAAAGTCAAATTCAGACAAGCAAGGACATAAAAAAATAGGAAGAAGCCAGGTTTTTCCTTTGTTGGCTAAATGAGTGGGGGTGTTAAGGGACTCCCACCCTCCCTCCCTCCCACTCATGTTAGGCTGCCACTGCCCAGATTTGCCCTTGGGTCAGTCCTGCTTGTGGTGATGCTCAGCCCCTGCATGATTTAAGCTATTAAATGCCTCACCCAGGCAGCAGTGAAGCCTGCTGCATGGGTGGTGGATGGGTGCTCATTGCCCACCTCAGGGTAGGGGGAAACTGAGGCAGACACCACGGTGCCAGTGCTGGGCGAGCCCAGCGCATCGGTCCACGGACTTGACTCCAAGCCTTTCTGCTGGAGACCCTGACGGGCTCAGGAGCAGCCTCCTTGCAGTGCTGGGCACTTGCAGCCCAGCTCACGGGAGCTGGATGGGGTTAATTGATCTGTTTCTGTGATGAAGCCTGTCTGTGCCCTGGCCTTCCTCTAAATGCTGCCTGCCAAAACAAATCAGCTAGCTCCTCTGCGGGGCCACCCAGCCGCCCCCAGGCTCTCTGCACATCCATTCAGTTAGTTTTGAGGCTGGCAGGCAGGGAAAGGAAGGGCAGCCCAGACCCCTCTCTCTCTGCAACTGCCGGGCACCATCCCTGCTGGGCTGCTCTCCCCTGCAGCTACTGGGAGTAACCCAGTCCTGTACCCTTCACCGGCTGTGCTCCATGCCATCGCCCTCTCCATCAACACAGCTCTATTACCCCCCAGCCCCAATGCTGTGCAAAGCCCCCCTGCACTCTCTTCCTCCTCCTCAGCTACCCAGGGCTTGTTCCCGTGATGCTGGCAGGTCTCCAGGGCTTGCCTTGGGATTTATAGGGCTCGGGGTGGGGGGGTATGGGAGTGGAGGTGGTGTCTGTGCAGCTGGCCACCAGCTCTGGTGTTTTAATTAGGGAGAGGGCAAGAAGGAACCAGGCAGGATTGCCTGCACCTTGGCAGCCTCTGCACCTCGCAACTTGCCAGGCACTGGCTGACACTGGCCGGCTGCTTCTTACTGCTTCTGCCTGTCCACCCGACACTGCCGGATCCTACCCTGGCAAGATCTCTAACCAACAGGATCCTAAAGAAGGGACCAAGTGCCAGGGTGCCTGCGGGCACAGCATGAGCCGAGCCAGCCCTGCGTTCCCTGCCTGTCACCCTGCCACCATGGTACAAAGGAGCCTCCGAGGCTACCAGAGAAAGTCGAAGTGCCTCTTCCCCACCTGAAGCAACATTCCCAGCTCCAAAACACACCTCGGCTCTCCCCGTCGGGTGCAACCTCTCATTTGGGTGACAAAGATATGATTTACACCAACAGCAAGCCCCAAATGCCCCCCCCAACCACCCTGGTGCCTCGCGCTCAGTACTCACTTTCAATGAATAGGCCAAGGCGATGAAGCCGAGGCAGCAGAAGTTGAGGTATACGAAGTTGAAGATGGACCAGAGATAGTAGTCATTCACCTCAGTGGTGTCGGGGTAGATTTCGATGACTGTGGTGGGGTTGGTCATCGTCTTCTTCTCCACTGAGTGCTTGCACGGGACCGCTGGCTGCAGGCTGTCCCCTTTGCAGCTTTTGGTCTCCATGAGATAAACGGCAGAAGAAGGAGACAGAACCGGCGAAGCTTGCCGGAGAGCTGGGGGCTTGGCAATGCAGGTGAAGCAGCCCTGCGGGGGGC